CCGCTCTTGGCACTCCCCGATGTAGTGGTGCAGCCCCATCGTCCACTTGCCCAACGTCTTGACGTAGATGGTAAGTGAGCCGGGGGTCTCGAGCGGCGTCGACGCGACGCTGAAAGGGTGCCATTGCGTCTTGGAAAGCGCGGGCACTTTGATCCACACGGCGTCACCGGGGTTGTAGCCCGTGGTACATTCGAACGAGATTTCGACAACGTCCGACGACACTGGCACGGCGCGCTTGATGGCGACGGGGGTCGTGATCGACGACGTGGACAGCAGACGGTTGACCATGTACAGCACCATCGACGTAAAGAGGAAGTAGATGATATTGCCCCAGTGAAGGACAGCGAAGAGGGAGGCAGGGATGAAGAGGAAGTGCGTGGCGTAAAAGACCGAGTAGTAGTGGCGGCGTACGTACGGCAGCGACGTCGCTCCCATGACAAGCATACACAATAGCGAGAGTTCACCAAATAGGTTCTCCCAGTTCATCTTGCCATCCACGGCAACGTCACAGTCAAAGCACGGAAGCATCTTGCTCAACGTCTTGGTGCGAACGTAGTATACCACGAATACGATCGTGTGGACCACGAACGACACGATCGAGGCAACCCCAAGCCACCGATGGTACTTGACGCCGTTGGCAAACGGAATGTTTAGCCATTCCATCCACAGCGAATGGCGACTTGCCGGTAGAGAGAGAAAGATCAAGTTGTACAAGCCAGAGAACCCCAGGGACGTCGCAATGGCCTTGATTCGATCGTTTGTCGTGCCCGATGGCTTGAAGCGTTTTTTGTACTGGTACGAAAACACAATCGCGTTCCCAACAAACATGACCATCAAGAACAGGAGCTCGCCATAGCTGACCTTGTGTTTGAACAATCGTGGTTTGCGGTGGAGAAGGGTGGAAAACGGAGAAATGAACACGCTGGCCTTAGCGCGCATGTACGCCATCAACACTGCCCCGACTACGACAGGCAACACCGAACCGAGGAAAAAGTAAGTTGGGACGACCATTTCCGGGTTGCCGCTGTTCTTCACTTTCGGGTTGACGCCCCACCACACCGAGATGGGGGTCGAAAACTCAATGGGGTACACAGGGAGGTTGTAGCCCATGGGGGTGAGCATGACCAACACCATAAGCAACCCGACAACACAATGACCAAGCAACCAGACGCCGTGCGGTTTGTGCTTGGGAGGGAGGATCGCAGTGTCCCCGGCTAAACCATCGATGGTGTGCCCTTCTATCACGTCTGCAGGCTTAGGTGTCGTCGCCTCAAGGTAGTCGGACGTGTTGATCATTCTTGGGGATTTCAAATTCAACAATGAGCAAGGACGGGTGTCAAGGTAGTGGTGTCGTTGTGATGGCGGATGCAAGCAGTGGTCAGTGTTGCACCGGTGGAGCCAACGAAGGCAGCGTACATTGCGATGTGCATCCGCCGTGTTTGGCCGCAGGGCTGTCTTGACGTTGCATGGCGCCACGTACGACTAATAACCACTTGTGATGCCATTGGGTATTCGGTGTCCAATCACATCCAATGTGCACCCTGATTGGCGGCAAGTTGTATTGTAGCACGAGGCAAACCATCGACTACTGTATACAACATGAAGTGGTGGCCAAGCTTGGGTGAGATCGATGGATCTTCGGTCCAGCAGCCACCCTTGGACGCTATGTTTGCTTTGACATATTGAGATGCTGTGAATGGCGCTGAGATTCTCAAGTTGCTTTCGTTAGAGCAAGAACACGCCGCGGATTCCTCTCTTCAAAAAAGTTCCTGGTGACCGCTAGAGCTTTCGCAGAAGGCTTGGACACAGGTAAGGGGGAGTTGGGTTCACCGCTGAATTTCAACAGTATGTTGGATTGCGTTCGTTATGTCGCCCCCGTCAACGCTCTCAGATTCCATGCGCCCACATTTCTTTTTTCACGTCTCCTCGGTGCAGAAGCTAAGCCGATTGTAGACATGGATGAGTGGAGACATTTTTGATTGGCTAATTCTCCTTGCTTTGAGAAAATTCCACCAATCAGCGTCGCGTCCGATTAGAGAAGGGCTGACAAGCAACAGAAATTGAATTGACGGATGATACACGCAGGCCAACGGCGACAACACACTATCGACACAAACGACACCGATCCACGCGCGTTTACAGCTCAAACACTTCGTGATGTACGTCGTACAGCGCGTCATTCGCGGTGACGGCTTCAATGGCTGCGGTCAGCGCGTTCGGGCCACTAACATACACACCGACGGATCGGAGGTCCGTCGACGAGTGACCGGCCTTGATCTCTCCAAACAGCTCCTCCCAATTTGCACGCTCATACTTGACGTTGAAATGGCGGACAAACTCGTCGTTCGTCAAAGGCACAGCAGTAGTATTGGCACGCATTTGCAATGCGGTTGCTGCCACGGGTTGCTTTCCCGGGCGGATAAGAGCAACTCCGTAGGCAAAGAAGGACCCCACAATCACGATCGAAAACTCGACAAAGCGCTGGAGCGGCCACAAGCTCGGTTTGTATGTCGAGATCTTTTGCTGGTACCGGACGTAGAATAGAAGGGCGCCACTGACAAAGAACGCCAGCAGCAACATCACCAACTTGCGTGTCGTCGACAGATGCGAGTACGGGCGCGGTTCAGTTGATGACTTGGACAATTGAAACTTGTGAGTGGGTTCGTCATGCTCAATCGAGACTTCGGCAATGTCTTGCTGGGTCACGTGGAGGTGCAAACTCAACCGTCCGCGGTGTCGCTCGGCCACGTCTTCCAACTCGTGCAGCCACCCCTGAAACTGCGACACCATCTCGACCGTCTTGACGTGCCACACCAGGTACACGTCTTGATGGGGCCGTGCGTGGAGCAAGTGCATGATTTGACCCATGAGCGGTGTCACTCCAATGCCGCCCCCGATGAACACCACGCTCGAGTACGACAGCGACATTGGTGTCGGCGGCGTGTAACCAGCATCCATGTACACCACAGGCTCCACTCCTTGGGCTTCGCACTGCTTGACGTAGTCGTGGACTTGGCTCGTCCAATGGCCCAACGCTTTGATATACACGGTCAACTGACCAGGCGTGTGCAGCGGCGTCGAGGCGATGCTGAACGGATGCCACTGGACGGTCGAGATTGAAGGAACTTGGACGTACACGATGTCTCCGGGGAGGTAGTTGGTTGAGCACTTAAACGTGAGCTGCGTGACGTGGCCAGGCAGCGCGGCCGCCGTGTCGAGAGCGACGGGGTGGGCCACCGTCGAGCTCGAGTACATGCGGTTCACGATGTACAGCACCATGGACACATAGATCCAAACGATGATCTGTTCGTAGTGCATGACGGCAAAGAGAGCGGCGGGGATGAATAGCCAGTGCGTGGCCTTGAATGTGGCGTAGTAGTTGCGTCGGACGTATGGAAAAGCGGTGGCACCCATGATGAGCATGCACAGCAGCGAGAGCTCGCCGAAGACATTGATCCATGCGTCCTTGCCCATGCTTCCTTCGACACCGATATCGCATTTGAAACAAGGGAGGAGTTCATGCGCCAAAGCACCGTTGTTGGCAAACTCGACGAAAAACACAGCGAAATGCACAAAAAACATCGCAATCGTGGCAGCTCCAAACCACCGGTGGTACTTGACAGCGCGAGCCCACGGGAGGTTGAGCCATTCCATCCAAAAACAATGCCGGGTGGCTGGCAACGCAAGAAAGACCTATGCATTGTGTCAGGCCTTGTAAGGTCGTCATGGTCGCGCGAGAGCGTACCATGTTGTAGAGGCCACTGAAGGCAAGCGAAATCCCGACGACCTTCAAGACAGGCTTCTTGAGCGACAACTGAAACATGTATGAGTGGTAGAACACGAGGACATTGCCAGCGACGGCAGCCAGGACAAACAGAATCTCGCCGACGCTCACAAGGCGGTGGAGGCACCGGGGCTTGATGTGGAGCCAGTAGGTCACCCCCATGCGGTAGTGGGCCTTGGCCAGGCTGAAGAGCACGGCGGCCACAACTACAGGGACGACAAAAAAGAGGAAAAAGTAGCTGACTGGGAGCATCTCCTTGCCGCGGGCAAACCGGTTCTTGTCCTTGGGGTCGATGTTGAACCAACTGTTCCATTTCAACGCCAGGTTGTTGCGGTAGATGGCCACGACTTGAATCCCGATGGGGGACACGATGGCAAAGGCCAGGAGGGCCCCAACCATCCAGTTGACAGCGACGAGCACGACGCCCCACCTGGACGACGCCCCCGTCACTGGGGCGGGCTTGTTGTCAAACCCCACAGGGGTCGACGCGGCCTGAAAACTCTTGATGCTCTTTCGAGGGGACGTTTGCATGCAACTCGTCAAAATGGAGAATGAAAGGGCAAGGGCCCCATACCTCCGTCGGTGACACAACGGGATGCCTCACCTAGACTCATGTTGAACCATCGCGTGTGGTGCACAGCTAGTCAACGAGCAACGTTCAAGTTTGCCCTCATCAGGAACCTGACTCAGACGTCGAGAGCCAGGCCTGCGGAAACTGATTTACTACCACATTCCTCGCCAGCCCCACCACTGGAGCGAGTGCGCGATTGGGTAGCGTCGAGTGGACTACCACGTTGTGTGGCGTAGCACCTGTACGAGGGCGTGAGTCCCGTCGTGGAATTTACTTCCACGACGCCATGTCAAGATGTCCGTTCCGCGCGGCATGAACAGGGGACCTACTCAAACGCGAACGACGTCGGGGTGTGTGTATCGATCGAGAGGGCGCAGTACCAGGGAAGGGGCGGTCCCTTGACAATCGGCATGCGCTGAGCTGCAAGGGAGCGCGTCAAACACAGTGTATGCACAATCGAGTCGTTGTCAGTTGGTCGTGCATAGCAATGACAGCTGCATTCGTGTCCATGCGTGCTACTTACTGACTGGGCCGACGTGACAGGTCTTTTCGTGGGCAGAGACAACGACCACTTCATGTGGACTTGATTTGTTTACTACAAGGTCGTGGACGACGTGAGCGGGACAAATGCATTCACCACGCGACGTGGGATGGAGTGGTCTGTGTGTGTGTTGGACACAACTGGGGCGCATTGCCAAGGCTGTTTCCATGGCAAGGAACCCAGAGAAGTGAATAATACACTTGGTCGAGCGAATCTTCCATCCTGGGTGTCTGAGTATCGAGGGTCCATTTTGGTCGTGACCATGCCCTTCCACGTCCGGAGGATTTGGACTGAAGAAGGAGGAAGGGTTGTAGACATTGTGCTACCGAGTCCCTCTACTTGACCATGTAGTTCTTGGGGTAGCTGGTGGTCCACAGCGGTCCGTTGCGCTGGAAGGGGGGGGCAGGTGATTGTGCAAGTTCGATCATGCATGCGTCGCGGACAGCCCCTGCGCGATTATCAGAGCACAATTCGATCGACTACTGATGTCTATCCATTTGGATGTAGGGACGATCGGTAGCCAACTCGTCGAGGGTATATTGGGTGGACGATGTCAAGCGCTCCATCGACCCGACCCTGCCTTCTTGGTAAAGTCGTCAAACTGTGGTGGGAAGCGCAAGGCGCTGGCACCGTTTTTGCTCGACGGGTGACTTGTAGAGGGGGCGTGTGTCATCGAGAGCGCTTTCGGTTTACGTCCACACGTGGCGTGGTGGGTCGCGAGCAGTGACGAGGTACAAGCCGGGGAGCGAACCCCATTGAACTGTTATGCCAATGTGTTTGGGCACGAGATCTGTCCAACAACGAACCAGGGGCGTGCCCCCACGGACAGGCGAGATCAGACTTGAACGGCTTCTATCGTGTCGAGCCGAAAAGGTCGGGGCGAGCTCTACCACGGACAAGATGCATGGCCAACGTGCATTTTCTTTCCCGCATTCCTGACCCCAACCCCAGAAGGCATGTCGACGCAGGAAACTTCGAACCACATCATGAGGCTGTATAACCTGATGGATTCGACCTGAGTACGGCAGTACCACGCCCATCAAGAATTGCACATTTCGGCGACTTCGGCCGGTATGCTTGCAGCACGACAGGGTCACACAAAGCACTCCCACAGAGATCGTCGAGCTAGCCTAGGAGGCTGCTACATGGGCAGGCGGCGCTGCTTGCCACTGCGCAACGCCCCTGCCAAACATGGTCGAGTCCGTGGTGATTTTGGACCGTTGACCTTCAAGAGTGGTATAATGAGATTCTCGGAGACCGCCCGACGCGCCATGTGCCACCGTCGATTGCTCCAACGGAGGAAGGGTACGACTTCTGGTGGATTTACGCGCGCGCGTGTGTAGATGGAGGGACGAGCTGCAGAAAAAGTCTGGCGTTCGGCGACATCAATGAATCAGTGAACAACGTGCCTCAACCGCGTAGGGGGCGGGGCAGGTTCTGACAATGGTGAAGCCACTCGCATGCCCGAAGAGTCCTCGACAGGATCTCCTCCTAGACGCGAGGTAGGGTGGAGCGCAACGCCAAAGTTCAAAGTCATCGTGCAAAACGTCACCATCGCATCGACACGTTCGAGTCTAGATGCCCAACAAAGCAACCACCACCAGCAAAGCCAAGGTACACCCCCTTTCCGTCCCTATTTGTTTGAGAACGAAGGTGCTTTGCCCCACACCATGTCGAGGTCGCGCCTTCTCATGAGGTTACTCATCTGGAAATGATGCGTGCACGTTATCGTTCCTCGGAATCGTCTGAAAACGAAGTGTTGCGCCGACGAAAGCCACATGTTGCACGTCGCGAACGGCGCGTTCTTGGAGCGTCCAAGGCCTGGTTTGCAGAGCCGACGTCCAGACCAATCGCAAGTTTGTCGATTAGGTTGACGAAGATCCACTCGGCCGCCCCACTTGGACGACGAAATGGTTGTTGCAATGGGGGCAAAACTCGTCTTCCTCGGAGAAGTGGCTGAACCAACGTCAGACATGGAGCGCCCCTTGAGCCCGATCCTTATACCTCATGATTTTTCGGAAGCACTTTTTGCATTGCTTGCACGCAAACGCCATTTCCGCGGCTGGTTTGATGGGATGGTCGGCCATTTCAAAATGACACTCTGTGCAGTCGAACCATCGCTTGCAGCACGGTGCTCGAAATGCTACCTACGGCGAGATACATTTGTCACGACGCTCGCTTCATGCAGGGGCGGTGGTCCCCTTGCCTGGACGCTGATGATGTGCTTGCACATGCGCGCCAACAGCCACGTACTGTTTCAGGCGTTTGGCGCTATTCATAGGTGAACAGCTTGTCCTCGTGACGACTACAGCATGCTCGAACCTCGTTTCATCGCTTCATCACATGGACACCCGAGGTCAAACGAAGCGAGCGAGATTTCAGCGGGGCCGCTAGTGCGTCGCCGCCAAGACACGTGGCGCCATTCCAAACCGCCTTCAACCATCACCAAGGCGGCAAAAGAGAGCTGATGCCGCGACCTGATTGGTCAAAATTTCAACCACATCCCATCGTTTGATTTGACTTTTCTCGCTTCACAACCAATCATAAGCTGTCGTAAAAAGATGTAAGAACGCGTCAAAAAGCGTATTTATTCCCTCCACCATGGCAACACATTTGTAATCGACATAGAAATTGAGCCCATCGTTTTCCCCCGTCGGCGGCCGCGGGCTTCAAGAGGATGGACAGGCACGACGAGCTACAACTGCCTCAGATGTCCGAACTAAGCATCGGTGCGACACTGCAGGTGGAGCGCCGTGCGTCGTCCGACCGAATGGATAAGATGATGAACAGTGCACTGCTGCCTCCACCGCCGGCGCCAACGTCGTCATTCGGGTTCAATCCCAGTGGCGTTCCAGGGAGCGGCACGTCACAGCCCATCATTGCGTCGCTGCCGTTGGAACTGATGCCGCCTGGATCGACGAAGAAACCAAAATTGCTTGTCCTTGGCATGGGATACACCGGGTCCCGTGTCGCAGCGGCGTTCCGCGAAAAGCTCGGGTTTAGCATCTGCGGCACCGTGCGCAGTGCGCGCGCGAAGCTCGACTTGATTGGAAAAGGCATCAAGCAAGTGTACTTTATGGACAACGGCCAGCTCGAAATCGATTCGTTTCGGCTGTTGGAGGACGTCACGCATGTCCTCATGTGCATTCCGCCTCGCGTTCCTCCCGATACCGACCTCACCAACGACAACACAAAAGACTTGGTGCTGGATGCCCTGCACACGGAGCTCAAGAAGCTGTCAACGCTGCAGTGGGTAGGCTACATCTCGTCCGTGTCTGTCTACGGCGACAGCCACGGTGCAACAATCGACGAAACCGCTCCGTTGGGAGCTGGCACGAGCCGTGGCCGCTTGCGCATCCTCACGGAAGCCCAATGGCTTGAATCAGGTCTCCCTGTCCACGTCTTCCGCGTCGGCGGGATCTACGGCCCAGGTCGCGGTGCAATCGCTCAAATTCAGCAAGGTGTTGCGCGGCGCATCGGTGATCTCCCTGACAAAGTATTCAACCGTATTCATGTCGACGACATTGTCAATATCCTGTTGCAGTCTGTCGCGCTTCCGAAGCCCGGCAGCATCTACAACGCCGTAGACGACGAGCCGGCCACTGGCTTTGACGTCGTCACATACGCGTGCAACCTAATGCACGTGCCACCGCCGTCGCCAATTTCGTGGGCCGAGGCTGAGGCGACCATGTCTGCGATGGGCAAGTCGTTTTTTGAAGAGACGAAGCGGGTGTCCAACGCCAAAGTCAAAGCCGAACTGGGGGTCACGTTCCTGTACCCCACCTACCGCGAAGGCCTCGCGGCGCAGTTAGCTCAGGAGGCAGACGATGCCGACGATGCATACCCCGCTTCCACATCGTCGCCCACCCACGCCACACACCACCATGCATCGAGTCGGCGCCGTGGCAGGACACACGTTTGCTTTGTAGTGAATCGCGGCGCATTGAAGACGGAGCCTTGCCTGGACTTGCGCGCCGTGTGCGCCAATCTAACAAGGAGATTCGACGAATGCGTTCGGTTCGTCCCGGTCAGTTGCTCGCTATCGGACCAGATCCCTGCGTCGCAGTTGCATGGAGAGCAAGCGCAGTTGTTTGACGCGGCCCTGGCAAAAGTGTCGGAGGCTGAGACCGGTCCGCTCGACTTGGTGCTCTTGCCCCTCTTCATCGGCAACAGCGGCGCCATCACAGAGTACATTCCGACCACGATCGACGCCATACAACGGGCTCGAAGCGCTGCCGGGGTGCCGTACCTGCGGTACTCGATGGGCCGGTGCCTTGTCGACATTAGTAAGCCATCGGACAACCGGGTTGCAAGAATACTGGCCCAAAAAGTCCAAGCATTATGCCCTCCCGGAAAGAAGGACGAGCTAGGCGGAGTGCACGTCCTCGTGGTGAACCACGGCACGGCCAACAAGGAAGTGCATCTGTCTCGGGACCTGCTTGGGTCGCAGCTCGCCAAAGTGCTTGGGAACACGGTATACTTCATGTCGAATCGTTGATGGGGCTAACGAAATCCGCAGGTGGATGCTGTTCAGACAGCGAGCATGGAAGGTCTGGGCAAAGACTTCAACGAGCCGCTCCTCGAGGCAGCGTTTGACGTGTACAAGATGCACTCGGGTCTCGTCATCATCGCGCTCTTGTTCCTCTCGTCAGATCAATACACTGGAGCTGGCGGCGACATCGACGCAATCGTCCAACGCGTCAAAGCCAAGAATCCCAATCTCGACGTGGCTGTCACAACCCCCCTTGGATCGCACCCCATCCTAACAGACATGCTGACGGACCGGTACTTTGAGGCCATCAAGGACTGGTAAGCGCACACCGCTGCGTCGAGTAACACGCATCTGCCGCCATCAACCCTGCAATAAATCCCCCACACCACCACCATCCCCTTTCTCCTTGTTCTTGTCTCGGTCGCTCGCCCAAATGTGAATGTGGTATGGAATCACGATTGTCTTTAAAGCCAGGTGCTATATTTAGTAAACATTGCATAAATACCTCGATATAGTAAGGTGCTTTCGAAAATTCGGTCTTGCGTCTCCCTTGCAATACTGACCCCTTGTGTCCCCCGACCTGCCACTAGCGTTGAATCACGACGACGACCGACCGCATGTGGCGTTCCTCGCTTCGGTTCGCCAGGAAACAATCCTTGTTCGCGGCGGCTGCCGCCGGCGCAGCGTTCTCGTCCATGAATGGCACGTCATTCTGTGATGGCAAGGTAGTCGAAGCAGCAACGAAACCAACGTCGTTGCAGACTGAACAGCCCACGGAAGCCGAGAAAATCGTCGGCCGGTATGAGAATCGACTGCGGCGATTCAGCAGCCCGGAACGAGTGTTCCACTACTTTGCCAGCATTCGACTCGACAAGCAGCCGTACATGACCCGCCAGGACTTTATCCGTGCGCTGACTCCGTACACGTTCCGCAAGGGAGATCAGTTGCATTCAAAGAACGCCGAGTTTAATCCGATGGTCGCGCTGAGCGCGCCCAAGAAAGCCGATGTGGAAGCGTACAAGGCTCTCGTCCAAGAGATCATGCGACTCGGCGAACATGAAGAGTGGAAGAAGTCCCCGGACGCAAAGAAAGAACTCGAAACACTCATGACCAAGTTGACACACGACTACACGATGGATTTGCAGACGCATTTGCTCGTGCTACGGGAACTCAACGTGACATGCCGCGAGTTTGAAACGTTTGTCGAGACGCATGGCGGGCCCAAGGCCCATCGCGAAGCGTTCTTCGACTTGGTCGATACGGACGGCGACGGCCTCATCTCGTACCCCGAGTACATGTTCTTTATGACCCTCCTCAGCAGTACGTTTCATCCCGCATGTCGATTCCGTCGCGTCACTCGGCATAGTTCCCGAGCGACAATTTGAGCTTGCGTTCAAGATGTTTGACGATGACGGCAACGGCGTGATCGACCACCGTGAGTTCAAAGAGGTCGAGACCACGTCCTGTCGCTGGAATCTGCGCATGACGATGGCGTTTTTGTGCAGATTATGGACTTGATGCGTCTGCGCACGCCAGCGGGACGCCAAGACCGCCGACTCAAGGACAATTCGACGCCAGCTTTCAAGAACTTGTTTGGCGAATGGGAACGGTACGAGCGACGCCGTTGCGTCAGTGCCATGGACGGGTGATGCATGAATATCCGTCTGCCGTAGGGACCCCCTTACGTTTGAAAAGTTTCGGGCGTTCCGGAACAACTTGAAGCGGGAGGTCATGCACTTGCACTTCGATCACTACGACGTCGATGGCAGCAAAGAGCTGTCGGTGCGCGAGTTTGGCATGTTCCTCGTGTCCCACGTAAAGCAAGTACGATCGTCTCGCGGCGGCGGTGAAAATCGTGACAATGTGTATGTAGAACGAGCTAGACCGGTGGGTCGAGAAGGTCGACAAGCTGCACGGCGTCGAGGTCAGTGTCGTTTTCATGGCCCTTTCCATGTCATGACGAAAAAATGGTTGCGGTCAGATGAGCATCACGGAGCAAGAATTCATGGACTTTTACAACTTCCTTGAAAACCTCGACGCGATGAAGGTAGCGTGCTGTGGATGCGCCATGACGTGATTTGACCAGCTCGCGCCAAGGTGGCGATGGAACTTGTTATGGAAAAGAATGGGCTCGACAAAGGTGCGTGAACTCCGTCGCTGTTGCTTGTGGTTAGTGCCCGTCCTTCGTGCACAGAGCAATTCTTCCGCGCGACGCGCGCAGCATGCAATGGCGGGCGGCCGTTGGTATCGCGTCAGATTGTAGATATCATCTTCGCCTTGTTTGATGAAAGCGGTATGGCATGTCACCCGCGTGCAACTGGCGTCGGTTGATGCTTTCGAAAGGGGATGGCACGGTCTCGCCAGACGAGTTCCTCGGCGTGATGGAAACAAGGCGCAGCGCCGGCCTTCGGGAGGTACGTCCCATCGCATACCACATGCCTTGACATGGACACAACGTCATGCTAGCGCCGAGACCTCGGCGCTCTTGAGTTCGTCAAGCGCATCAGGTCGTGCTTCCTCGAATGCGTCGCCGACATCGCATGAGTGGAAATCGTGTGGTGCCTCCCCAAGATCCATGTCGTTTTAAATAAATGCACATGCCCATAGCTTGCGATTTGTATCTGGATTTTATCGAAATGTTTTTTATAATATCCGTACGAGTGGCGAAACGCCCCGCAGTTCCATAGATTCACGCCGGCAGCGATGACCATGCTGATTCGCCGCGGGTGGAGTCTATATGCGGTGACTGGGTCCGCAGCCGCCGCAGGTTCAATCGCGACCGAGAACCCACTGTCAGGATGGATCAGGGTGTGGACCACGTTGCTTATTCTTCTCGCCATGGGGTACTTCATGCGTCGCCAAATCCTCGGACATATTGTCTCGTTTGCCGCGACATGGGCAGCGTCCAAGACGGTCCAGTTCGTCAAGATCGATAAGGTGATCTTAAAACCATTGCAATTCTTCCACGTCGAAGTCATGACGCGCGATGGATGGAGGATTCTTATCACACGCGTGGAGTTCGACGTTCGCCTCAAGACGTTCCTGTCTTCGTTCGGCCAAATGAAGCTAGTGTGGGTCGTCGTGGATGCATTGTCCGTGACTCCGCCAAGCGACATGCACACGAATGCTTCGAGTGAATCTCTCCCCGAAGTTGCTCCCTCGACAACAACTCCAACGGACACCGCCAATCATCGTAGGACAAAAAGAGCATCAGGACGACTTGTCCGTTCTCACGATCAGAGGCATAGGAAAACCCGTCACGGCCGTCATGGGTGTGCTCAAGTTTGCCGAGCTGCAGATCAAGTCAGTCTCTTGTACGGTGTCGGCGCCGCTTGTTGTCGACGGATCCGCAGTCCAGCTCGTAGTTCAATGCACTGGGAAGGACTTGGAACTCGCTGTGAATGACATTTCCGTATCTACAGGGATCATGACGACAGCGTTCTCGCACTCGTCGTCGACTTGTCTCGTGCAGGTCGTCGCCACAAACTCCCGCGTTCCTGACCACCTCTTCATCGATCCGTCGACGTCCTCGTCCATCCACTTGAACCACGTTCGATTGATTGTCAAGGCCCATTATTTGACCAAACTCATTCACGATGTGCACCTCGTCGGCACAGGTCCCGCGCCTTCCGCCACGGCTTTCGTCCGCGGCAGCGTCGTTCAGCTCATTCAGCAGATGCTGCACAAGCCACGGAAACCACACGAAGCGGCGCCTCGGTCGTCCCACCACTTGCTTGTCCACGATATGTTGCAGGTCGTGGTCGAAAATGTCCCCGCCGCCGCTCACGTGTTCGTCCCTGATACCGCCGTTCAAGTGTCGTGGGCCAGTCATGTTGACGTCGTCAAGGTCGCGTACTCGACGAAACGTCATCGAGTCGCAGCGCAAGTGAATTCAAAGACGATGTCGGTTGCCTTTACCGACAACGTTGGCACCGCGGTGCCATGGGTCGACCTGTCTGGCATTGAAGTACGTCAGGGAGACGCGCCATCTCGAACTTTGCATCCACTCTCATCCATGGTTGTGCCTAGTTTCACGTCGACGAGGCCAGTGACGAAGCCAGCGCCAAGGAAGCGATCGTCACCACCGTCCACGCCACAATAGCGTCCATTGCCGTTGAAATGTCGCCAGCGGTCCATGAACACATTCGCGTTCTTCAGGCTCTCATGGCCTTTCCCTCATCACCCGACCATCGGCCTCGTCAACGGCGGCAACTTTTGCTTCACATGGAAACTCACGATTTTTCCGTGGCGGTCAAAGGCTCGTCAGCCAACGATACATGCGTCGCGGCGTTTGTCCACTTAGTTCTCGATGTACACAGCCCTGGAAACGTATCCATGTCGTCAGAGAAGGCAACTTTGAACGTCGCGACCGGTGGCGAAGGCATCCTCCCCATGCCATCCTTTGACGTAACAGCCTCGAGATCGCACATCACGTGGTCTCGTCTTCCTCGCAAGCATGGCCAAGTCGAGTTGGAGTCGCTGGAGTGGTCCATGCTTACCAACAATCGTCGCCTGGACTGCACCGCGGTCGTCTCGACGGACGTGATCTCTCCGCGAGTGCTTTTGACGGGGTGCCGAGTTCAACTATCCGACGCGAACGACGTCCGCACAGTCGTGGTGCAAATCAACGACACGGTGGCCTACTGGAACCATGCGAGCAACATGGAAAACGTCGTGGCCATGCATTCTCTAGCCCACACGTGCCAACGGCTTCGCAAGCCATCGACCACAACCGCAGAATCTCCATCACCTCAATCGACCAAAATGCCGCTCGACCTGTCGATCGCTTCCAACTCAATTGCATTGCACGTGAGTGGAATGGCGCATCTTCCAGACAAAACGCACGTGTTTACAGTCCAAGCGCTGACATACCACGTCGTCGAGAGCGATTATGGCAAAGTCACCACTGTTCACGCGGGCGTTGGGGCTGTCGCTCGTACTGGCAACTCAGACAAGTTGATTCAAGTTTCGTCGGTCGGGATGCGCATGACGCGCAGCGCCGCAACCGGTGCTGACGCCGCCACGTTGGACGTTCACGACGTCAGCCTCGACATGCCCGCCCACTGGAAACTCATGGTGTTTGTCAAGCAAGTCCAGCAGATCTTCAGCACATCCATCGACCAAGGTGTTTGGCTGTCCTGCGCGCTCATGGATTAAATCGTATACGACGTAGGCAAACGCAGGCATCCACCGTTGGAGCTCTCGGTGCATGTCACCAACTTCGTCATGACGTTGACCTTGCCGGACGATCGAAACAACGCCAAGTTGAAGCTCGCGGGCCATTCTGTTGACGTGAAATCTCGAATCACCAGCTCGTTGGAGCTCTCGCATGCGCTGGAAGACACTTTGAAGGAGACAGACACGTGCTTTTCGGTGGCCGACTATCGTGCGCATGTCGCGAAAACCGCTTCATTCGCCATCGAAGCCGAGGCCCATCAAGTCGAGTTGGGTGTGTTTTCGACCGTGCAAAGTGTGTGGAGCCTCCGGTTGGACACGTTATCACTGGTCGGCGACATCCATGAAGTGTCGCTGCGTGCGTCTGCCGTAAACATTCCCCGATCGCGAATTTGTGTGGGAGTCCGTGCCGGCATTCAACGGCCGACTCTGCATGTCGACAAGGTGTTTGTTGCACTCGAGGTCATCCCGATCACTCTATCGTCGCTGGACGACTTGATCAACACGTCATGTTTGGACAAAGACTACGTTCGGGTGAACCCCCGGCACAGAACGTTTGGCAGCGTCGAGGTTGCCGTGTTCGACAGCTCGTGGACGGCATCGTTGACGTCCGAGAATGTGCTGAGCGGTCACCTGAGTGAGATTCGCCTCGCCATGGACAAAACGAATCGAATTGATTGCCATGTCGCGGATTTGAGCCTCGACCTGTCGTCGGCGCAACTCCTTCAGGTCAGTCAAGTGCAGTGGGCTGTTCAGTTTGTCCACCAAGGTACCGTCGCCGGCGTCGACGCGTGGCATGCCGTGGTGTCTGGCACCATCACAAGTCGCGACAAGATCCCCACGGTGAGAGAAAACAAATTGTCGCTCGAATGGACTACGCTGGTGGGCGTGATCAAGACATTTCTAACCGAGCAGCTGTTGCCGCCCTGCGTCGAGCGGCATCGACCGGCCCAAGGGTTCAATGCGTTGACCGAGATCAGCGCGAGTTTGGCGCTGCGTCCAGTTCAAATAGGGTGGTCGGAAGCCAACACACCTACGCTCATCCATTTTGAAATGAACCAAGTCGACGTGTCGTTCCGGGCTACCAAAACCGAGTGCGTAAACGCGTCAAATCGATGTCTCTTGGACTAACTCGTGTTGCTGTAGCATGCACTGGTTGCCCCAATCGTTTGCGGTCGACGTGAAGTCGCTGCAAGGATTGATCTTGGAAGGCTCGGACAGCAGGATGCCTCGCCCAAACTCGTTTGTCGTGCAAGCTGCCAGTGTGCACGCTGTCAACGCATCGGTTCAAACGAACAAGCACGTGCCAATCCAGGTCGACAAACTCAAGCTACAATGGACGGTGGCCATTCGCGACCACATCTTTCACATGGTCGACATCATCCACGACGACATCGTCCATCTGCTCGAAATCGTGCGTGGGAACGGGGAGCGACCGACGTCCACCACTCTGTTGGTCCACAAACGGACGTCGCCAACGTCCTTGTTGGACCTTCTCCATCAAGGAAAACTCGGCCAGTCCGACGAAAGCAACACAAGCTCGAGTCAAAAGAAACTTGATGCGGGCAAACAGCCATTTGTCAACCATTTCCCCACAGGCCTCGTCCTGACCAAGCAATTCAGCATTACGCTCGTCGAAACACAGATTCACGTGGCAGAGCCAGAGTCGAAGAGCAGCATGGTTGTGGCCTCTCAACGCATTCAAATTGAACTCGGCAAGGACCACTTGGTGGCGTACACGATGGCGGACATTGTGTTGACCGATATGTCGTGCCACGTGGCACCGTTGGACGTCGACATTGACGCGGGGGTGCTGTGGTACAACCCCCAGCAGCGCAGCGTTGGCGCCCCATCGTTGTTGCAGCCGATCATGAACGAGTGCTCGATCACGTGCAAGTACAACATGGCGCTGTTCAACCAAGCCACGTTCATCCAAATCGACATGCCGTCGATGGTCGTTGGGATGGACTCGAACCAGTTTTTTCAATGTTTTAGTGTTGTGAGGCATGTGCTCTTGGCGCCCCCCAAAGTGCCCAAGCCCAAGCCCAACGTGGCCCCCTTGACCATGGACAAGAGCGTCAAACTCAAAAAGTTGCAGGCAGCAGTCTCGGAGGAGCTGCGCATGGCAGGTCTGCGATCAACTCCATCCGGTACTCGTCCATTTGAGTTCATGGCATCGTTGGTGGGATGCCTCATGAGTTCGAGTAGGATCACCGTCGACGGCGCTGAAATGCGTGGCGTTTCGAATCGGCCGAGCTCAATGCAGGTTTCGCACGGGGCCCGAGGATGGTGGCACCGAATTCGTCGCGATTGGAATGGACGAAGCGGAGGGTAGCCACGTCTACTTTGACGATTCGTGCACCAAGTTTGGCATCAACATGCAGTGGCTGGAGATTCAAAACCTCAAACCAGGTTCTTCCTCCATGTGCTTTGACGACCCGATGTCCGTTGTGAAGCCTCGGCTTGACGACGGCGCCGGGCAACAGAGTACGTTTACGCAGGATTCTTCGATCTGATGAGAATATTTTCTGGCTTGCTCATGTGTTGGTGCGTTAAATAGTCAAGACGATGTTGTCCATCCGAGCCGAGAGCAAGCCCTTGCCGCCAAGCCAGCTCCAGCCGGGCGTGCGGGTGTTTGACATGGTCGAAGTCAGCATCTTTCCCGGCATTCCATACGACATTTCGATCCAACTCGCCGTCGATTTCTACGAGCTCATGTTCAAGTTCTTCTTTGGCACACAAGCCAAGACGACCGCGCACGAAATGAAAATGCACATGACAAGTCCCATGGCGAAATTCGGCATGAAAGAGCTATTGACGCGGCCACCATCGCTGCCAACCGACGCGACCCCGTCGTCCGACGACCTCCTCGCGGACGAAGATGATGAAATTGCCGAAAGTTCGGGCGCCGAGCTCTTCTTCTTCAATTACGTGCGCATCGGGAACATTTGCCTCAACATTTCGTGCCTCGGGTTTGTCGTCAACTTGAACGGATTCGAACTGGAGCTGCCCCACTTTGTGTGCCAGGGCAAGCTATGCACGTGGAAGCAGCTTCTGCGCAAATTTGAAGGCCATTTGGCTTGGCACGTAACCAAGGAAAGCGCGTCGTCCGGGCTAAACCACGTCAAGAAGAAATTCCTCACGCTCAACAAGACATTCAAGCGCAAGGACAAACCGGCGACTCCGACCACCAAGAAGGACACGACCGAGAACATGGCGACACTGTTTGGTCCGTACCATCAACACGACTGAGTAGCAAGCACGAACGATTGACGAACGGGTGCAGCACGTCAAGAGTACTAGTACATCATAATTCCCGTATAATACACATCGCACTCGTCTACTTGGCTTTCCATGGCGCCAAGTTGTACTGTGTAAAGGCCTACAACAACCAATGTCACATTGCGTCCAGAAGTCATGCAGTCCAACTGCATACCTCGTCTGTGGCGAACACCAACTCGAGAACATGGAGCGACCCTGACAGGACCTTTTGACGGCACAAATCATGGTCACGCAAACCAAATATCACGCGGCGCGCTTGCGACTTGTACTCTTCCGTCGTGTCCAGGAATCGATCGTACAGCCCCTTCTACGCACGTCAGGCACTTTAGGTGACCATGTGAATTTCGGCATACAACTACCTCGATCTCACGGCTGACTTTCGGTGACGTGATGACTTCTTGAATCATTTGAACAACAATCTCTCGTTCGCGACTAAATGGGGCACCAGACACCCCATCGTCGCCTTCGGGGGTCGTATGGTTTTCCGACTCGTGATCACCCACTGGTAGTTTGGGTTCAATGTCCGCAATGGCGGAAGGCTCGATCGGAACGGACACCTCGGACGTGGGCTCGGGGGCTTCGTTTTCCACTGAGGCAATCGGTGCGTCCACGGTGGCAGGCTTTGACTTTGGCTTTTCATATCCTGACTGAGCATGTACAGATCAGCATTCGGTTTCTTCACTCAAAACATGCATACGTACTTGTCGTATCATGTGCTTGCGGAGGGCACTTGCAGTCTTTTTGACGTTTGGGTTGATCGAAGTATTTCGGAGCAAGTTGACGACCACGGGCAACCCCGATTTTTGGAGAGTATCGAGTGTGAACTGCGTCGATTCAATCAGCGCGTTCATGATCTTCAACGCCAAACTGATCGACTCCTTCGACTCGCCCTTGACACATCCTTGCAACTCTTTAGCCAAGTTTGTGGCCAACTCAAGATCCAGCGTTTCAATCACGAGGGCTGTCTCGGCCACGTCACTCGTCGTCGCAGTGTCCTTGGATGAAGCGTTATTCTCTTCAGTCTCCACTTCTTCGTCCTGTATCGTCTTCACCTTCTTTGTCTTCAGACCTTTCGCATTCGCAGCAGGCCGTTTTCTCTGGGGAGGTTTTACATTCATATCCGATTCGGTCTTGCTTTCAGCGTCACCGTCAACATCGTGTGATGTTGACTCTTTTTTCGCTTCTGCAACAGTTGTTGACGTCGTCCTGGGGGTCTTTTTGCCGCTCTCTTCATTCGAATTCGCATCCATGGGGCCACCCTCAGAAGCGGTGGCGCGCTCCGACGTGCCAAGAGCTTCAACTGCAGTCGTGGTTTTTGTTGTTTCTCCAGGCTCATCAACGTTTGCAACTTCAGCAGGAGCGTCAGCAACAATCTGAAGGGGGACTGCAGGTCGTTCTTTCGGCGGTCGGCCGCGACGTTTCGGTGCGGTATCCTTTGGTGGTCGGCCCCGCTGTCGCTTCGGCTCTTGACTAGGTACAGGAGGTTTAATTTCTTTCGTGTCTTGATCTGGAATCTCATCTGCCACTGTGGTTTTCTCCATGTCGTCGGCCGTGACATTTTTCGTTGTGGATGGAGGTTCCTCAGTCTCATGCACTGGCTTTGCTTTGGGCTTGCGTCCAGGCCGTCCCTTTGCCTTAATGGGGGTTGTCGGTGTCGCTTTAGCAGCGGGTGGCACCTGTTGTTCTCCTGGTGGTTCGTTTCCAGGGACCACTTCAACTGGCTGAGGTTTTACTTTCGGTGGCCGACCGCGCTTCTTGGGGGCTGGAGCTGTCGCTGCGCTGTCGGGAGTCTTTGTCACTTCAGACGCTCCCTCGACAACGTCAGGGTGTTGTGTGACTACGGATGTCGTTGGTGCGACGCTCAAGCTGGGGTTCTTTGGCGGACGTCCCCTGCGTTTCTTGACGGGGGCAGGTTCAGATTCTGTCGGTTGGTCTACTAGAGGGCGCTTGGCGGCAGCTCCTTCTTTACGCTTTCGCGCCATCTTTTCTCCAGTTGTCTCCTGGAAAATTGTCAGGCTTGTCCTGGTAATGTTCGACTACCTTGTCCAAAACCTTGACAACGACCCACGAAACACGCTTGTCGATGGGCAGCTGAAACTCTTTCTACATCATATTCCATCGGATATGAGGGAATTGTACAAGATGTCATGCACGCTAGTCGAACCGCTGCAATCGTTTTGGCTTCGTCAAACTTGGCATTCTTATACGGTTTTCCCTTCTTCGTTGGAAAGCCATCATGGAATGGCTTGGATGAGTCTTCCCACAGCGCAATGTCAGCCCGGAGCACTGGCGCACTACGATAACCTATGAAGCTCTTTGCACAGTTGCTGGAATATGTACCTGTTGTTTGTCTGGTAAAAGTACACCCAAAAGTGCGTGTCCATCAAGGGAAGGTATTTTTGCATCGACACATAGTCGTGTACGAGCATCTTTGGGTCGCAGATGTACCCTGGCCAATATGGGTATCCCCGAATGCGCGCCCACGCGACTTGTCCGTACATCGCTTTGTCCTGAGACACCAATTCGCTGCTTTTGGCAAGAAATTGCGCCGACAACGACGCAGCCACGTCATCCCATTCCGCTACGACGGCGACTTTCTTTGCAGGTGTCGATTTCCGAGGTTGCTTCGTTTTAGCGGGAACCGATTCGGTGTCCGAAGCCTCGGCGCCACCTTGGTCTCCATTTGCCGATAATTTCTCATCCACAGCATTGTGCGGAGGGTTCGGACTCGCGGATTTAGCGCTCTCGTATTCGTCGTCCCCTTGTGGAACTGAAGTAATGTCGTCACCGTTGGAATCGTGATGTCCGTTTTTCTGAGAGATGTCTGATCCCTCCGTTGGAATGAACGAAGAAGCTTCGTCATTCGTGGTGACGTCGTCTATCCCTGTGCTCGCGCTTCCGTCAGTTGCCGCTGAACTGACGCCGTCCTTCGCCGCCGCGGACATGGATCTTCGTCGCTCCGGTTTGCCCAGACAACGTTCGATTGTGATTGGCCCCACATTGTCGAGGCGAAATTCCCCAGAGGCGGTTTCTGATTGGCTGATTTAACACAAGCGCGCCACTTTTGAATTTTCCAAGTCCCGCACACACAACTACTTCGAAGTAACAACGATGAGGCGCCAAGGAACAAACGACGATGGAGTATGGGTTGCTTATGCGAGGATGGGGGTGGTTAGGTGCAAGATGCTCGCGAGGGACTGGACGGCATGCAGGAGATGGCTAACTTTCGACTGTAACTCGGTGCTCTGATTGTTGAATGACGCCAAAGACGTCCGAACCGTGTCGCTTGTGTTCCGAATTTCGCCACGAAGAACCTTGATGTCGGACGTACATAAAGACATGCCTTCGTCAACTGCACTCCGTACCTAGGGAAACGTGAGCGATGTCGCTGCCACGTAGTTGGCAACCCACTCTCGACGAATTCTTTATCAGGGCGTCAATCGATGAACGTGTGGTGGCTTCACTTGTTTGCAGAGACTCACGCAATGCCGCAACCTCCTTTTCCATGTGATCTCGATCATGATGGCGCTGTTGCTCAAGTGCGTCTACAGCAATTGTTAGATAACCGGACGGTGTCAACAAACCGACCTGTGAATGAGTTGAGTTGCGCCAGGCATTCTGCTGTTTGAGCTTTTATTTGAAGCCGCAGTGTACCGAGTTCCTTTGCCAGGACTGTCGTGTCGCATGCAAGAGACGAGAGTGCCGCCTCGTGTTCTGCTTGCCTATGCATGATTCATTCAATTGACGTTTCAAAGGACATCCATGATGTACATAGTAAAGGCCAATGCATGGACTTGAGTCGAGTCGTTCTTGAGCTTTTGCAGCCACTCGCCCATCTGATCTTGGTTTGCTTGAATGGCATGATGCTTTCGTATGTACTCGCTTTCCCGCGACAGGAGTTGGTCCACGTTTGCGTTCATTCGAGTTCTTTCAGCTTCATTCTCTACAGCCCAAGGTGAGTCCAGGATTTGCGAGACTCATGACTTGTACATACCCAGTACCGCCACGGACACGCGTGTGACTTGTGTCTGCAGTGAGTCCAGCTTCTTCTCCACCATAAACATGTGCTGTTGGAATTTCGTGTCCATTCGATTGCATTGGCTCTCCAGCACCGCAATGAGTCGCTCTTGTGCGCGAAATCGCGCCGCCACTTTTTCCAGCTCAAACGTTAATGTCGCCTTGCCGTCGTCTGCCTCATCGTCAGCACACCCTCAATTCACAGAAACCACGGAAGGCACGTTTTCGTACCGAATTCCAAGAGGACCACCTCCGACAGAGACCGGAATCCCTCCTCGAGCGCGTCCAGTCGCTTCTCCAAGCGGTGCCATGACTACGGAACGGAAGAACCTCTCATAATTAATATCACCACCTCGCGTGCGAACGACGACAGTGGCCGCGGGAATCCCTGTGAAATGTTATACGCAGGGTTCCCACGCCACTGTTCTTCATCGCGCGATCCTCGTGACGGCACGTACGCTTTCTCGTCCCGGCGCCATCTTCACCACACAGCTCGAGGTACGACCAGCGCTGGAATCCATACGAGTGCGAAACGCCTCACGTCCTCGGAAACTGACGTAGAAACTGACGTAGAACAACCATTCACATCTCAACATGGACTCACCTTCGGACACGTTGGCCTTGCTGCGCGCTCACGTGGATAACGAGGCAGGCGACGTTGTATTCGTCGAAGTTGAAGGGGGCACGCCTCTTGGTATTGTACTTGATGAAGTCAACAAACAAGCTGTCATCAAGTCGTTCACGCGTACGAACAACGACCCTGGAGTGGTTGAAAGGCGAGCGGATGTGCATGTTGGAGCTGCTCTCGTCGCGATCAACGGCAAAGACGTGTCCAAGTTAGGTCTCAAAGAGGTGGGAGAGATCCTGAAGAAGCTCAAAGATCGGCCGAAGGTCCTTGGATTGCGCGTTGAGGTGAAGTGTAGTTCCTCTTCGAACAATCCGCATACTGACTTCATTAATTGCAGCGACCACTTCAATCCATCGACCTAGGGCCAAAGAGCCCAAAAAGCTCGCCGGTGGTCGCCGCTCCCTTGCCTCAAGCTGTTCCCGCAGCTCCTCTGGCGCCCACTGCCGCTCCTGCACCGGTCGATGCAGTCGCGATCAACATCGCCCCAGCAACACCTACCGCGGACGCTGGGCCAAGCATCGAAACCATTGCCGTGCGTTGTCCTCCTGGCCCACTCGGTCTTCTCTTGAGCAGCGAATTGCTTGACCGCGCCGTCGTGATCGGGTTCCAACCGTTGCCTGATGGATCGCAAGGGGTATTGGAAATGCACGAGAACGTTCGTCCTGGCGCTCACCTTGTCCGCATCAACGGCGAAGACGTCAGCGCGTGGTCGTTGCATGATGTTAAAAGCCGTCTCGGTGCACTGGCCGACCAGGAGCGCTTGCTTGAGTTTACACTGCCGCGCCACCGCGCCAACAGCCAAGACTTTTCACTGCGCCGCAAAGAAGAGTTCACCCTCATGAAGCAGAACGACTCGACCAAAATCGAGCGCGGAGAGTGCTGGCTCATCATCGACGCCAAGTGGGTCGAGCGATGGGTTACGTTTGCCGCTCTGAACGGCCCGCCGCCTGGTCCGATCACAAACGAAACGCTCGTGCAGCCGGGATGGCAAGACCGCCTCGACGGAAAGGTCCCCGGTGATGCCGACCTGCCGCGTGAAAACCTAAAGGTGTCCACCGACTACCGGTGTGTGACGCCGCTCGTGTGGAGCTTCTTTGCAGCGCTGCATGGCACAAGCAAACTGCCGCCGATCGCTCGGTACACACCTGTTCGTCCATGTCCGATTGAATGACCATGTGTTTATCGTAGCTACGCGATGGACATCTACGGCCGGCAGCTGCCCGCCGTTGAACTCAAGAAGATTTTGAAGGGCCCGTCGCTGAAGGCAGAGATCACGGTGAAGGAGATCAAGCATCGCTGCCAGTACGCTCCGTAAACACGTCGACAAGAGTATAAATATCGTGTAAGTCTAAACGTCCATTTCAGTGTGTGGAGGTTGGATCACGAGTTGAAAGATGTCTGTCGCGCCGTATGAAGCGCAGCGATGGAGTTTCCACAGCCCATTCTTCCATCCGCAACTCGATGGACTATTGAGCGCACAGGACACAGCCGGACAGGAAGGGCATGTCCCGTAGGTCTCGAGGTGTCGGAGCGCAGCCGTGGAGGTGGCGGCGCGGTGTTTGTGGGCTAGGTAGATCGTAGTCGACGGTGATGCAACTGCTGCGACGGTAGACCAGAGCTGAGGATGCGCGGCCCAGTTGTACAAAACATCGGCAAGCACGAGAAGATCCGTTGATTTGTCGCGGTGGGGCAGGTCAAGCAGGTGCACTTGATTGCCCCATTCCAAACCACAAATGGATATATGTGTTGAGGAGATGGGCTGGAGCTGCTCGAGGTTGTGCTGAAGCAGTTCAAGGCTAGTGGGCTTCTCGGTCAGCACCAAGGTCGAGCGAGCGGGAAGCAGCGTCGCCAGGACCAAGCCGAGTAGACCACTTCCGGACGCAATCTCCATGGCTCTCAACGAAGTAGACGGATTGAGATGGGGGATGTAATGAGTCTGCAAAAAGAAGCTCAAGCATATACCAGCGTCCCAAACGTGCGATGCCATGGCGTGGCCATACCGCTCTTCCACCGTGACTTTGACGGAGCCTGCGGGGGTGTGCACGGAGAAGAGTCGCAGACAACATGAGACGGACAATAGGGTTGATGGGGGTGGTTGCGCTCGCACAATGAGGTCAGACCACACGGGCAAGACGAGAATACGTGCTTGAACGCTCATACTCGTGGCGCAAGTGAAGGATCGCAGCGAAGTTGTGGCTGGAGCGGTCGCCGAGCTGGAAGTCGAGTGCAGATTCGCATGGAATCGAAACGACAACGGTACGTTCGGGAGTAAAACCTTGACGCAAGTGTGCGATTGATCAGGTGCCATCGTAACAACCGACGTTGCTGTGGAAATGGGGACGTTTGTCAAGGCGTCGGTCATGCCAACTGCTACCTCCCATCCTGGCACGTCGTGTGCTTCCGGATGGGCTTTACAGGAGCTTACGCCTTGACCACATTCATCAACTACCTCCACATGCAGATTGATATCGTCTGTGCCTTGAGGGATGAAGGACGGCGGCGAGAACCGAAAGCGAAGGCGGTACATCACTACTGCCGCCTCCTCCATGATCATGAACTCCGAATGGTATCCGGGAATATCCGGACGAACGTGTGCCTTGTCGCCAAGATCTGGCATGATTGCCACAAGAAGCGGAAGCAGCGCCGTGTTGGACGAAGCTTTCGGCCGCCGCATGTTGGATGGCACTGCGGAGTGGTCGGATGTACCTGAGGTCATCCGATCGTCTTTCTACGTCCTGCACAAAGCTTACCGCACCTACGACAGGCGGCTGTCTCGTTGCGAACAGTCGGTGGCGTCGTGCTTGGACCGGTTGACCCGAACAGAACTGGGGCTCGTTCGACGGTGTGGCGAAGGCTGTATGGCAACTGCGCGCGGGCCTTCACATAGTGCCGAGGTAGCTGGATTGAAGCAACAACTGTCTGTGTTGCAAGACGACCTGGCGATGAAAGTCGACAAAATTGGCTTGCTCTCGACAGTGAATGGAGCCGTCCGTGATACCCACGACGATCACACCAAGGATATCGAGGATAAGCTCCAGACTCACGCTTCTCGGCTGGAAAATACGATGCTGAAGGTGAAGACTGTATTGTCGAGGAAGTTGCAAGCCGTGGAAGGTATACTCCCCGTCGAATCCATCAAGTCATAGTGTCACATGTAGTGCACTCGCGCCAGGATGTCGCATCGATCAAACTGCACATCCAAGAGCAATCGAAAGACTTGCACGGACTTCATCAGGATGCATCGCGGCTCGAGGCCTCTAGTACGTTGAGCAGTTGCTGCTACAACTTCTCTCCATGACGCGTTTCTACAGTTGGCGATGCTCAGACATCGACCGCGGCAGCGCATGATCGACTCAGGAACATCGAATCATGCCTTGGTGAATTGTGTCGAGGTGTTGGGATGGACATTCCAGAGCCATGTACTGCCAGTGTCCTTGCGACCGCCGTCACCTCTGCTCACGTGCACAAGAATCTTCTCGCCCGATTCCAAAATGTACGTTAAATTTTTCCAGGGTTTCGCTACTCATGTTGATGAAGATGCTTGAGCATAGCCAGACTCAACTCACTCACACGACGTCCACCGCGCTCGAAGACGTGCGAGAGCAGCTACGGGCGATCCGACAAAGCGTGCATCTAGTCGAAGGCAGGATATCGGTACCGATGCAACCTGCGCGTTCGCTTGCGGTTGAGACAACAAACCAACTCGAATCGACGCGAGCGGGGCAAGTCGAAGAGCAATTCGAACTGCTGGAGAAGCAAGCTGTCAAGCTCTCTGCCCAGCTCAAGGAGCTCGAAACCATGACACTCATGACAGGCACACCTGATGCCGTCGAACGAGTTGCTCCAGCAAACGTTGATCTGCGATACGCCCCGAGCGATATCAAAGGCTGGGGCTTGAATGATGCCGTCACTCCGCTACCATACCATGAAAATGGCAGCACGGATGCCCAGAACATGGATCATGATGAGTCGAGCAGCACCGTTGCGCGGTTGAGCGAGCCCTCTCCGATGGACTCCAAGAAACTCGACTTGCGACTCAAAAGAGAGCTCTCGAAAGCTCGATTCGAACAAGTCGCGCGTAGGCAAAAGGAACGGCTGCGGCGGCGGGTCCCATCCCTTCCTGCGCTAACCTAACAGTCCATCTCCACACAACGCATCTATTTCGTCCGGTATCGAATTTTGGCCTCAATTGACACGCAAGAACCAGCAACTGTCCAAATCGACGCTGGCGTCGGCGGCTGCAATGTCGTGAAGGACACGTTGCGTGTCTTGGATGGCGTCGAGGAACGAAATTGCCTCCATGTGCGGGCTCTTTTCCATGAACGTCTGATTGATGCCCATGAGGCACGTGAGCTCCACCACCCGCAGCCTCGCCGCTTGCCATAGCAGACGAGTCGACTTGTCTTGGTCGCCTTGACGCAGTGCAGTGGCTGTACACATGATGACAAGTACCCACTGGGCAAATGTAAACTCGTTGTCGTTGTTGTCGTCGGTGTTGTCATACTTGTTGGATGGGGTTGCTGCTGTGAATGCAACGGTGACGTCTTGGCCGTGTGACTGGTGAATTCGACACCACAACGCTTCGTCCTCTACAATGGCCGGAAAGGTATGAAAAAGAGCTCCGTATTGTACCGTCCGAGCTGCACACGACGTAGCCTATATCGCGCAATTGAATAGTGACGACGACGTGAGGACCTTGTCGCACTTCCAGACTCAGTCCATTGGGCGAGATCGACGCGACGGAAGGCGTGCCATCTTGGCTTTCACCGAGAAGCACCAAGCAGGCAGCCCCAGCTTTGCATGCTTGCAAGCTAGTCAAGTAGAAGCGCTGCCTCCATGATGACAATGTGAACCGACGGGGGAATATATCTCACCTGGAAGGCGGCAATTCTGGCATGAATGTCGCTTACCCGCCCCAAGATAGTCTAGTTACACATTAGCCACATACGCGGTCTCTGGGTAGACGCACTTGAAAGTACATGCCAGCGCGCCGAGGGTGCAGCGGCAGCGCCATCAGCCACCGTCGCGCGTGCCTTTTCGAAGTACCATCATTCCTGAGCAACCCAGAAACGATTTGGACAGAGTGATGGTCATTCTGTCCGCTGGCGAAACGGCGCAGTTTGCCAATGTCGACCGCCCTCCAAGGAAACGTTGTGGCGATTACTGGGAAGCTCTCGATTGGGACCCGCGACATGATCGCGGACCTTGTTCGCGCCCACGGCGGGGTCATGGCACGCTCCATGTCAAAGCACGTGACGCACTTGGTCACGTCGGATCCGACGGCATCGTCGACGAAACTCGTCCAAGCAAAAAAGCTGGGAGTTTTCGTCGTTGGAGAGTCCTTCCTGACGAGTTTACCACCGCTCATGTCGAGCGACGCATCGTCCCCTCCATCCAAGAAGCCCAAAGTGTCCGAGTTCCACGGCCACGTCTACTTTATTTACGGTGACCTGTCGATCGACCACGACGAAGTTGTAGCGTTCATTCAAGCCAAAGGCGGAGTGTTTTCCCCTACCCTGACGGACGCTGTCACCCACGGAGTTTTCGAAGACCTTTCGGCCAACAGGTACCCTGCACATGCTGGACACCGCGCACACGTCTTGATGAAAAGGTTTGTAGTCCCGCACACACCCTGGCCAGGGAGAGACGAATTTCAATGGTCGACGAGTCGTACATCACGCGACGAATGCACGCAGACATGTTTGGCAGCGACACTGAGGATAAAGCTTTCAGCCCGGTCCCTAAGACTGTCATGGCAGATGGAGATGCGGTCGCCGTTTCCGGTATTGATCTCGTCTGGAGTCGGACGATTCATGCATCATGCGGCAGGCAATAGCTCCAACTACGAAGTGCGCTTTCGCGGCGGAGTGTATTACTGCACGTGCATGGGATGGAAGATGCAGAACAAGGCGGTGGACGTCCGGTCATGCAAACACTTGCGTCAAGTTCTCGGCGATGAATTCGATCGATGGCGGACAAAGGAAGATGCCAAACGAGGTGGAGCAGCGCGAAAGATCACCATCCAGCCCAAACAAAACGCACCGAAGCTCCTCTTGGCGCAAAAGTGGCAGGGTCAAGACGTGGTAGGGTGGTGGATCAGTGAAAAATTCGACGGCGTGCGGGGGTACTGGACCGGTGCCGACTTTGTCAGTCGGGTCGGGAATGTCTTTGGCGCGCCAGACTTTTTTAAACAAAACCTGCCGACGAACCACCACTTAGACGGCGAACTCTTCTTGGGACGCCGCATGTTCGAGCAAACGGTCGGCATCGTCAAGAGCCACAACGCCAGCGACAAGTGGAAACGTCTCAAGTTTATGGTGTTCGACATCCCAACCCTACAAGGCCATGACTTTGAAGCACGGCAGGCGTTCGTAAAGTCGTTGGTGGCCGACTGCCCGTACGTCGAGGTCGTGACGCAGACGCGATGCACGTCGGAGGCCATGATGCTGAAAACCCTCGCCGACGTCCAAGCTCTCGGCGCGGAAGGCCTCATGTTGAGGCAACCCAGGTCGCACTACGTGGGCTCGCGATCATCGTCCCTGCTTAAAGTCAAGACGTTCTTGGACGATGAAGCTATCGTGGTCGGCTACGAAAACGGCAAAGGCAAGTACGCTGGCGTCGTCGGAAGCCTCAAGGTCCGCAACCGTGCAAACAAAGCATTCTCGGTCGGGGCGGGCATGACTGATGTTATGCGTGCCGACCCTCCAAAAGTTGGTACGATCGTCACGTATCGATACCAGGAAACAACGCAAGCAGGGATTCCACGGTTCCCTACGTTTGTCGGCATCGCCATCGATAAGGAATGGCCACAGAGTTAGACACGGAAGGGATTCGCATGGCTCGCATCGTTACTCGCATCAATCAACTCTACTCCACTGTCCTGGCTTGATCTTTGCTTTCACAATCGATGGACAAGGTCTCTTGGGTATTCTCTTGGGCTGGAACATCGCGGCCATCTTCTTTCGCAACAGTATCTGGCACTACCACCGCCGACACTTCACACGGCTGCATTCAACAAAGCTGCTGCTGTCTCGGGGCTCGCGTCTAGTAGAGATGCGGTGGTCACCACACCGTCAGGTGGGACGGCTTCAACGTGCTGGAGATGCTCGTGCACGATTGCCGCACATTGCAAACAGTTGTTGATGTGGGCGGCTTGAATGTCCTTGGCTCGTTTCAAGTCATCTTGGACGCTATGGGCGACGTGTTCCAAGTCCGTTCGCTGCGCTTTGACTTGATGGGCGACGAGGTAGCACCGAGCCCAGAGGTAGAAAGCCCACATGGCTTGGCTGGTGTTGCCAACACTTTGGAGGTCGAGGGCTGGGTCGGCGAGCAGCGCGAGGACGTCATTGTTGGGCGCGGTCGTCGAGGTCAAGATGGACGGGAAGTCGCACCCGTCGACGAGAGTGTCCAGGACGTTGGGATTTGAGAGCAACTTACGCTTTCCGATTTCCCACCACTCGGTCAAGTTGGCAGGATCCGACGGTCCAGGGAAGCCCAGAATGAGCACCAAGCACTTCATTACCCAAGCACACCGTTCGGGTGGTTTGTGTATCGACTTGAGTTCGCTGATGCTGCATTTTGTCAGCGAATTCATCGCATTGTGGGCTGCTTCCATGGCTTGCACGAGCGCAGCGGGCACCTCCGCCATTGGCGAGACAGGATGCGCTTCGGTACGAGTTGTCGTGGGTGTCCCAACGGCGGGAATTGGGTTCGACGCCATGTAGGTCGCTTCTTCGTGCGGCGTTCGACCTGCCGTGTTGCGCAGCGAAGGATTGGCTCCAGCCAAAAGTAATAGCCGGACGATGTCGGCATGGCCAGCTCGACACGCTACGTGAAGGGCTGTGTGCCCCCATGCCATGATCGCATTCACGTCCGCCCCGCGCGCGAGGAGAAAGTCGACGACGAGGGGCGAGTTCATGTCACTAGCGACCCCGAGCGGCGTCAGGAAGGTCGAGACGGTGTTGATGTCGGGGCCTAAGTCGAGCATGTCTGTCAGGCGTTGGAGGTTGGCGTCCTGGCAAGAGTGGCGCGTCACGCCCACCAAGAGAATCCCAGCAACGAGTTGACGCACGCGGGTGTTGAGCCCGTCGAATCCAACCCCTTGCTCAATCGCGCGGAAGATCTCGTCCTTGTCGTTTGGATTAAATGCTTCGGCATGGCGGGCATCGAGCGCTTGGAGGGTGTCGATGACGTTGCGGTAGTTTTCACGTAGGCTCACACGATAGTCGGTCCATTGTTCCGTCGGCATGGCCACGTCGATAGCGGCCCTCGTTTGAAGCGCGGCAAAAACTTCCCACAGGCACCACGCCCGCTTGAGAGGGATCGGATCCAGGAAGGGCTGGAACACCAGCACGACTTTGCCAATCGTCCGAATCGCGTCGACAAATGTGGTCGACCACCAGCTGTGCGGACGGGCAGGGGCGTTGTGCTGGTCCACGACAAACAAATCGATCCAAAAGAACACGCCGTCCTTGGACTCTGGCGGCGGCAGCGACAAAAAGTAAATCTCAATCGCTGCCACCAGATCGCAAAAGCTGTACTTCCACGCATGCGACACAAAGTGCGTGGCGCGACCGATGCTTCCAGGCGCAGCAGTCGGCGCCAACAGTTGGGCATATGAGCAATTCGTGTTCGCTGTGTCAGGTTGGACAACTGCAGCACACACGTCGGACGTTGTGGCCGACGGTGGGAAGCGTCCCGATGCGACATGGCTGTCCTTCCACGCCACCAGGAAGGCGCAGCTCACACCAATGGTGGGGAACATGACGAAGGAGGTGATGGGGCGGCGCTGGTGCCTAATTATATCCGACCCAAAAACGAGCCCTGGCCTTTCAACCGACTTGCCCACGGCGACGACGAGCGAATGCCAGGTGCATCTTGACGGCAACGACAGTGATATGCATCAATGGAATAAATTATGGACCGACTTAGACGAGCTCGACGTCGGGCTCGTCGGCGTCGTGCGAAGGCAGTCGGATGAGATCGTAGCGAGCGTCCAAGATAGCGTTCATCATGGTGTGTGCGGGCGTGACCGCCTCCCCCGTCAGCGCTGCCTTCAGCACACTTGGCGAAAACCCCGACAGGAGCGACACGTTGACGTCGGATGCGACCGCGGGGGTGTCGGTGATGGCCCCCTGGACGTTCCAAAACACGAGGTGGGGCACGTCGAACCCGGCCTCGCTGTACAATCGCTGGAGCGCCTTGAAGTTGGTTTCAAACGCGCGGTCCGCCTGGTCGAACTGCATGTCGGACACAACGATGAGTCTCGCGGGCATCGAGTCGCGGGCCACCGCCTTGGCCATCGCCGTGTCCAGGATGAGCCGTAGCGCCGCCATGAAGTTGGTCGAGCCACCCCACGGCGCCCCCGCCAAGCTGTCCACACGCTCTTTCAAGTTGCTGCCTTTCACGACGTGGAACTGCGGAGTCGTTTCGAACGTGAGGACGAGCCCCTTGAACTCGCCCTCGGCAACTTCAGAGATGAGCAGCCCCAGCGCAATCGAGACCAGCATGGGCAACCCTTCCATGGACCCCGACACGTCCGACATGACGAGCGTCCGAGACAGAGTCCCGAGGTCCCGTCCTTGCTGCAGCATGACTTGCCACTGTGCTTCCACGAGGGGGTCGGCCTCTAGCTCACGGTTTCTGTAGTACTGTTCGACCACTTGGTGCGGAAACAGCACGGACGCATTCACTTTGGACTTGCCCGTCGCCAGGCCCGCCTTCCACTCGGAGAACTTGTCGCTCAGATGCCGCTCGAATGCATGTTTGGGCTTGCCGTGAATGTGCATGGCGACGCTCGGTACTTTGTTCAGATCGATCGCGTCCCAGTCCTTGGCGCACATGAATCGCTCGAGGAGCTGCAGCGACGCCCGCAGAGGAGACAAGTACGTCTTGCGCAGTGAGGCGCATGTGAGGCCCATTTTCTTGGCGAGTTTGCTCGTCACGCGAGAGGTCTTGTCGCTGGCTTTCTTCTCGGATGGAACCCACTTGGCGCAGAGACTGACCGGCTCGCCGCGACCCAATGCGGCAAGGTCTTCTCGAAGTTGGTTGCCAAATACGTCCAAGGCCGCAGCTTCGACTGGCGTCCCCATGAGCGCCAGGAGGTCGTCGAAACGACCATATTCAGCAACGTAGTGCTTTAAGTTGTGCGTGAGTTCGACTGGCTGGTGAATGGCCAGCCACTTGAGAGCGAACCGAGCGACGGTGCGCTCCCCCTTTCCGCCGCGGCAGTCGCGAAGGTACGCCACAATCTTGAGCGTGTGCAGCGGGTCTTCCTTGTACGACGCTGCGACCAAGTCGCACACACGGTCTTCAGAGGTGCCGCGAAGAGCGCCAAAGTACAAATCGACGCGGCTGCTCGTCGACGTAGCGTTAGAGGCCGCACCATTCCACGTGACAGCAGGGGGCATCACGAGGGTAGGCGACGGAGTCATCATGACCAATCGAGTTGAAAAGTGAGCTTTGTTCACGATTGCGTCTATGTAGCGAACACAAACGATACACAGTGAGTGATGGTGTTGGAGTGTTTTAGAATGGAATAAAAGAACATTCTTCCACATGGTTGACATAGTACATGGTGAGTGATGGCTTCGAAAAAGCAAGAAATGGCAGCAGTCTTTCGTCTGACGCACAATATACTTATCGAGATTTTGCGATATCTTGAAATTTGTGAAATATCAACCCTACAACAAATAGTACATCCTCTTTTATTGTTTACGATGTCGAGACAATACTTCAAGGTAAACAACCGCCAAGACATCATTATATATGTTCGTGTTTCCATTCAATCGGCCCAATGAGTAAGATTCGACAAATAGATAAAGAAATACACCAGCACTCACAAAGCCCTTCACTCACACACGATGCACTTCACCCAATACATACCAGAGACAGCTCATTTCTACTTTTTCTCCGCGTACAGCAGCAAGAGGGCGAAAGCCACCACCAAA